CACCCGCCCCCGAGGCGCCGGCGTGGAGGAGCGGAAAGAGGAGGCGGCGGCGGCGGCGGCGAGGAAGGGTGAAGGGCGCCTGCGCACTGGCTCGGGGACGCGGGCAAGGGAAAACCTAGACCGCTTCCGGTGGGCGAGCACAGCAAGGTGCGCCTGCGCTTTCCTCCTCTTCCTTAGGGCACCGCCCACATGCTCCGGATATCCGGTTAAGCCACACCCCTCGCATCACGTCTAACACTTAAGCCTCAACCCCCGCTCGGGACCACGCCCACCCCAGAGCTCATTACAAGCCCGCCCACTGCCTCGAAGCCTGTCCTCCTCGCCCCATCCCCACTAAATTCCTCTGTTCTTTTTTCATCTAAGATCCAAGCCCCTCCCCTGTGGAACTCCATTTTCTCTTCTAAGCGCTGCGCCTAGCCCCCTCCACTTTTTCTTAAGCCCCGCCTCTCAACGTTTCTTACGTGGAACCACGCCCCTGTGTTTAAGCCCCACCCCCACCCCATAGCGTTTAAGCTCCACCGTGCACTTAACTTTTGTGCGATAGCTCTGCCTCACACCGCTAATGGATTCCCTTAAGTCAGTGGTTGTCGGGGTATGGTTGGGGGACCAGCAACATCAGTAGCAACATCCCCTGGAAACTCGTTAGAATTACAAATTCTTGAGCCTCTTCCCCAAATCTACTGAATCAGAAACCTGGGGGGTTGTCTAGTCATCTGTGTTTTCAATACACCGTAAGCCCTACCCCTCGCATGTATACTAGAAGCTTCACTCCTAACTCGCTCCACCCCAAGCAGCCAAGCCCAGTCCTATCAGCCCCTACCCCCTCTCAGGGACTTCCCTTTGAGAACTCAGACATCTTTCTCTCCCCCTAGCCTGAATAACAGTCATGCCACCCCTGGGACCCCCTCCTAACAATTAAGTCCCACTTCTCCTAAAATCTGCTCTCAACCAGGGCTTCAAACCGGTTCATTCCAGCTCGAACCCCTGCTGAAAATTTGCATTTACACTACAGATATACTGAATCAGAATCTACATTTTAACAAGATCCCAGGTGGTTCTTATATATAATAAATTTTGAGAACCACTGCTTGACTAGTGTTTTTCCCACAGAATGGCTGATGGGTTTGAACTGAGGACCTTTTGGTTAGAAGCTGAGTACTTAACCACTGCACCACCTGGGATCCTTCGTCTGTCTTAATCACCCCTCTTATTTCCCCTCCACCCCTAAACTCCCTAAAGCCCCACCCCAGTTCTCAGCTCCTTCTTCTAAGCTCCACCCATAGTTCTCACTTTACTATCCAATAAGCCAGGCCCCTCGGTCTCAGCCCTGCCTCCTGCTTCCTTAGCTCCGCCCTTCCTCCAAGCCACATCCTTATCTCTGTAAACCCTATCAAAGTTGTCTATCCGGTCATAACCCTCCACTCAGGTTTTCCTTCCCCAAACAGTGGGTCCCTAGGACTAGGAGACTGGGGACAAGTAATAGCTGCAGAATTTCCTGGACTCTGGCTGGAGTGCGAGAACCAAAGACTCAATGTTTCACGTAATTACAATGCATATTTACTGGGAGTGCCTTAGGGTCTGATGTAAATGAGGGACGCAGAGGTTTCCCCCAAGCCACTCTTTAGCGCCGCATTAATGAGGCACCTGACATGGTTCTTACAAACTCCACATCCTCACATCTAGGCGGTGTCCACGTGGAGGGAAGTTTGAAGGGAGGAGAAGGGTCAGCCCCGCACCATCACTGAGCACACACAGGAAGCCGGCTGGCAGAGATTTATTTCGGAGTCCCCTTCCTTCAGGGGCCTGTCAGTCTGGGGGTGTGTGGCAAAAGGCAGCAGGACCCACAAGTGTAAGTCCCCACCCTCCCACAGCAGGAAGACCATTAGAAATGAAGGTGTCCCCGCCCCCCTGCCCAGGCCCAGCACCAGCTCTAAACTTGGCCTGGGGAGGGGGGGCCAGGGCTGCGAGTCAGGCTGGCTCTTTCTCCTCCGGCCCCTCTTCATCTGCCCCCGCCGTGGCCGGGATGCTCTCGTCGTCCCACGGCAGCTCAGGCCCGGGGTCCGGGGGACACAGGGGTTCCCCCAGGGCTTCGGGGTGCTTGCGCTTGGCATGGCGCCGCAGCGTGTTGGCCTCGGTGAAGCGCAGCCGGCAGATGGGGCACTGGTAGGGGCGCTCCCCAGAGTGGACGCGGTGGTGGTGGGCCAGCTCGCCCGCCTCGCGGAAGCGGCGGGGGCAGAGCGGGCAGCGGTAAGGCCGAAGGCCGGCATGTATGTTGCAGTGCCGCCGCAGGTGGCTGGACCGCTTGAAGGTCTTGCCGCAATCCTTGCACTCATGGGGCTTCAGCTCTGAGTGGGAGATGCTGTGGCGTTCCAGGTCAGAGAGGTAGGAGAAGGCCCGCAGGCAGACGGGGCAGAAGTGAGGGGCCTTCTTGGGGCCGGTGCCCTCAGGCCCACCCGCTGCCGACCCTTCGGACACTGTGTAGGGCACACCCTGGTCATCGATCAGCAGGAGGTCGTTGCCCCCACCACTGCCCACCGGGGACGACACCCCCTGGGGCAGCAGGGGTTCCTGCCCTGACCTGGAGGGACGGCCCCGCTTTCGAGGGAGGGAGGCCTTGAGCTTCGGCTTCGAGGAGGTGGCCCCCCCAGGACGGCGGCCTCGGCGGCCCCCAGGAACAGAGGGTAAGGCCAGAGGTTTCTCTTCCTCCTCGGGCAAAGGTGAAGGCAACGGTTCTGGGCTGGGGGTGTCCATTGAGCAGTGAGGGACTTGGGTCTGGGCACTGGAGCCAGGCTAGGACGAGAGAGGGGGCAGTGTCAGTGCAGGAAGGGTCTGGGCTACCCCTGTGTGCCCCAACACCTAGCCCAGCTCTCTGTCGGAGTCTTTTGACCTAGGCACCGCTGCCATTTCACCTGTATGCACAAGTCTAGCCATGGTGTGGGTAAAATGGCCAAATAATTGGGTACCACTTTAAATAGCCCCCTAGTGCTCCCTTTGATATAGAAGTTCAGGATCAGCTTGGGTTGAAAAAAAAATCTTCAAGAGAGAATAGAGAGTTTAATGAGGGTGCAGATCAGTAGTGGGTGCCTCAATACAAACAGCCTATGAAATCCCAGGCCATAGAGGCTTCAGAAATGTTCTTGTCCCCCTTCCTGATGGCAGAAGTGGGGAGGGGTTCAAGATTGGAAGAAGGGGATTCGTCCAAGTGATGCTTGACCCTGAGTCATCAATGAGGAAATATATTTGAGTGTTTAAGAGTCTGGGCTCTAGAGTCAGACATCTTAAGTTCAAATCCTGAGCCTGTCAGTTACTATCTCTGTGGTCTTGGGCAAGTTGGTGACTTCCTCTGCCTCAGTTAAGCCTTCTGCAAAATGGGACTAATCGTTCTACCTATACACACAAGACATGATATGAGGAGCTACTGCTGTTGTTGGGTGCCACTGAGTCAATATTCGATTCATAGTGACACCCTGTGACAGAGAAGTATTGCCCCATAGGGTTTTCTAGGCTGTAATCTTTACGGGAGGAGCCCTGGTGGTGCGGTGGTTAAGTACTTGGCTGCTAAGGGAAAGGTCAGCGGTTCAAATCCACCAGCCGGACAAAGATGCGGCAGTCTGCTTCCATAAAGATTACAGCCTATGAAACCCTATGCGGCAGTTCTACTCTGTCCTATAGGGTTGATATGAGTCAGAATCAACTTAATGTCAAGGGGTAACTTTACAAGAACAGATTGCCATGTCTTTCTCTCAAGGAGCTGCTGGGTGGGTTCAAACCACCAATCTTTTGGTTGGCAGCTTAGCCTCTAACCGTTGCACCACCACGGCTCCTTAATATGAGAACACACTTAAAGTGGTCAGTACACAAGAATTATTTAGGAGAGATTAGCCGTTGCTATCATCATCATGAGTAGCTAAGCCTCGCACCAACCCTCTGAGAAAGAATGCATCACCCTCATTTTGCAATGGGGAAACTGAGGCAAAGGAAAGCCAGGGCAGTTGCCCAAGTTCTCTCTATCAGTACTGGCAGGGCTAAGACTCGAGCCAGATTTTGCTGACTCCAATGGCCCAGGCAGTGAAAAGAAACAGGCCCAAGGAGATAAGAGGACATTGTGGGGTCCCTCAGTCCCAGATGTTGATCTGGCTCAACAGGTCACTAATTGCTTTCTGAGCCAAAGTTTCCTCTTCTTTAAAATGGGCATATTTAATAGGGTAGTTGGGAGAAGCAAATGAAATAAGGGACATATATGCCTGGCACCTAGCAAGTGCTCAACATACCACCACCACGATTATCATCATCATCACGGGAAAATACTTACTCCCCTGACCCACTCAGGGCCTGGGTCGATGAATGTGCATAATAAAAAAGTGATGGTAGATGGGGCTGGATTTAAAGTAAAACATAATTGAGCGCATGGGATTAAAACAAACGGGTGCAGTTACGAGGAGTGGCTGCAGGTGCTACCTACATCCCCCTTTTAACATAAACTGAGGTCCAGTGAGGAGCAACCACTTTTCCATGATGACCTAGTTAGCTCCAGTAGGGGGCTGGACTAGAACTCGGGTCTTTGGAAAGGTAGGGAGTAGAAATGGCCCCCTCTACACCCCCGACACCCCCACCCCCGCCCAGGCGCGTGCCCGTTGGCCCCCAGCGGCGAGGCTCGCGCGCGGGGCGGGCCCTGCGGGGGCGGCGGCCAATGAGCGGCGCCCGGACCGCAGACGGCGAGGGTGCCAGGAAGGGGGTCTGCGCGCGCGCGCCAACCTGACTCGTGGGGCGCGAGGTCGGTGTGCGCGCGCGCCTGGGCGAATGCGCAGGAAGGAACAAGTGCTGGGGGGGCGCGCGAGGAGCGCGCGGCCCTGGGCCGCCCCTCCCTCCCATCCCCCTTCCCCGCCCGGGACCCCCGCCTCTCGGGTACCTCATTTGCATGTCGCCTGGGCTCGCCTGTGAGCGCGCGCGCGCGCACGAGGGGCGACGGGGCCCGAGTGTAGGAAGGGGCGGGGGTGAGGGGGCCCTGCCCCTCGGCGGCGGCGGCGGCGCGCGGGAGACGGCCCCGCCCCTCGGAGCGGACGCCCGTCGGCCCCTCCCTCCCCTACCCCGTCGGGTCCGCGCGCCTGCAGGGAACAAAGAGGACTCGCCGAGGCCGCCAGGTCCTAAGGCCTGGTCACGTCCGTACAGGCACATTGCGCCTGCGCAGCAGTCTCCCTCATTTGGCCGAAATGGAATGGAGACGTTTCAAGCCCCTCCCTTCTTTCACTCGTGTTTTCTGTTGGAGAAACAACCCCACCACCATCACCATCACATACCCTACCACACAGAAATGTCTTTTCTCCCACAAAGCACCCAGTGGGGTGACCCAATCAAAAAAAGACACAATGTATGAGAAGTGAGGAAAATGGCTGCCGACTGCCCGTAGTTAAGATGGTGCCTGTTAGACGTCAAAGTCTATCGAGGGCTAAGCGAACAAGATGGAGCCTGGTTTTTTTCTCCTGTCTATAAACCGCAGGTGGCGAACTTCGATGTCTCCCCTTTCTCGTGCTTGAAGTCTACAGCCTGCCTAGGAGGAGTCCGAAGGTGGGACAAGGGAATCATATCTGCCTTCATTTACGTTAGCACCCGTTAGCGTCGCCATAGAGGGAAAGAAGGCCGTGCGCCAGGGTTGCTGCCCTTAGTCTGTATGGCGTCGTTGTCTCCCCGCCCCTTTTCCTTTGCCCTCACCCAAGATGGCGCCAATCTGGTTTCTCTAACCTTCTTCAGGGCAGGAAACGGGAAGGAAAAGAGGGAGAATGGCGGGAGTGTGGAAGGGGGAGCCAAGAGGGCGGGAGGAAGGGGCAGTAAGGGGGGCCCGAGGCGGAAGTCGAGAGGCCCCCCGGGTGGAAGTGACGCTACCCCGCTGCCCAAAATGTCGGCGCCCAGAGAGAGGTGTAAGTAATTTAAGAGGAAAGCCAACCGATTTCCCCGGCCTCCCGGGGCCGCTCCAAGTCTCCAGAGCCCCCCCTCCGTATGAGTGAAGTGGACTCGCCTGGCCCCGGATCCCGCCTGACCTTTCCCCGCTCCGGGCGCCCGAGGCCCGCACGTTTTAGGGACGGGGGAGAGGCACAAAAGGCCAGTTCTCGGGGCTTGGGGCCTGGAGCGGACTTGAGCGGGAGGGTAGCACCGCAGGCTGCTGGGTGTGGTTGGAGGCGGGGCTTAGTAAAGGTTGGGGAGGAGCAAGGACTGGGAACAGCCTGATGGGGGCGTGGCTTAGGTCGAAAATGGGCGGGACTCTTTGGAGGTAGCTGGGCTGTGAGTAAAATATGGGAGGAGCTTAGGCAAAGGGGTGGGTTTTATAAAGGGGCATAGCTTATAAAGAATGATTGGAGATCCCTAGGTTGAAGGGTAGAAAAAGCCTCATTGATGCTTAGTGGGGATGTGGGGCTCAGGGTTCGAGTGGGAGGAGCTTAGAATAAAAGGGTTAGTTTGTCTAGGGGTGTGGGTTAGAGATGGGTGAACATAGTGAGGGAGCGGGGCTGAGGTGTTGTAATTTGGAGTGTGTTAGAGGAGAAGTAGCCCGTGAGTGACATAAGTGGTTTGTGTTTGCCTACTAACTGAAAGGTTGGTGGCGCTGGGGAAGAAAAGCTTGGCAATCTGCTTCTGTAAAGATTACAGCCAAGAAAACCCTTTAGAGCTGTTCTAATCTATAGCACATGGAGTTGTCGTGAGTTGGAATTGACTCGCAGGCAAAGGGGTTTAGAGGAGAAAGGAAGGGACTTATTAGGGGAAGGGCTGAGAAAAGTGAGAGTTGCTGAGTGGAGCCGTTTTGGAGAGGAGGAGGCTTATCTGAGGGTGGAGTTCTTGGAGGCAAGTCTTAGTGGAGAAGACAGGGGCTCCAAGAAGTCAGATAAACTTAGAAAAGCATGGTGGAACTTACAGGATAGTAGTAACCAAAACAGCTTACTTATTGAGTATTATGCACTGGGCTAAGTAAGCACATAGCACTCACATTGCCACAATTTTGCCTAATCCTCACTACCACTTTGTAAGGTAGGTACTACTATTACTCCCATTTTGTAGAGGAAAAGAGTTTTTGTTGGTTACAGGACTGGTTCTGGTGGCGCTGGAAGGATGACTCAGGTGTGCTTGCCTTCAAACCTTTGTCCTCTCATTCACTTAGTTGTTGTTAGGTGCCATGAAGTCAGTTCCGACTCATAGCGACCCTATGTACGACAGAACGAAACACTGCACGGTCCTGTACCATCTTCACAATCATTGTCATGCTTAAGCCCATTGTCTAAGCCACTGTATCAGTAGTCGGCTTCAAAGAAGAGTGGGAGGGACTTGGGGAGTGGGAGGGGCTGACTGAGAAGTAGGAAGGTCTTATTGAGGAGCAGGTGGGGCTTGGTGGGGAGTGGGAAGGGCTTGGTCAGGAATGAAGGGCTTGGTGAGGAGTGGAGGGCTTGGCAAGGAATTGCAGAGGCTTGGCAAGGAGTCGGGGTGCTTAGTGAGGAATAGTAAGCTTGGTAAGAAGTGTTGTTGTTAGGTGCTGTTGAGTGGGTTCCGACTCAATAGCGACCCTGTTATAACAGAACAAAACACTGCCTGGTCCTGTGCCATCCTCACATCCTTGAGCCTATTGTAGCCACTATGTCAATCCATCTCATCGAGGGCCTTCCTCTTTTTAGCTTACCCTCTACTTTATTAAGCATGATGTCCTTCTCCAGGGGCTGGTCCCTCCTGATAACATGTCCAAAGTACGTCAGACGAAGTCTTGCTTCTAAAAGCATTCTGGCTGTACTACTTCCAAGATAGATTTCTTCATTTTTCTGGCAGTCCACGGTGTATTCAATATTCTTTGCGAACACCATAAGTCAAAGACATCAATACTTCTCAGGTCTTCCTTAGTCATTGTTCAGCTTTTGATTGCGTATGAGGCAACTGAAAATCCCATGGCTTGGGTCAGGTGCACTGTAGTCCTTAAAGTGACATATTTACTTTTGAACACTTTAAAGAGGTCTTTTGCAGCAGATTTGCCCAGTGCAAGACGTTGTTTGATTTCTTGACTGCTGCTTCCATGGGCGTTGATTGTGGGTGCAAGTAAAATGAAATACTATATAACTTCAGTGTTTTCTCCATTTATCATGATGTTGCTTATTGGTCCAGTTATAAGGATTTTTGTTTTTTTTTGTGTTGAGGTATAATCCATACTGAAGGCTGTGGTCGTTGATCTTCATCAATAAGTGCTTCAAGTCCTTTTCACTTTTAGCAAGCAAAGTTGTGTCATCTGCATATTGCAGGTTGTTAATGAGTCTTCCTCCAATCCTGATGCCCCATTCTTCTTTATATAGTCCAGCTTCTCGGATTATTTGCTCAGCATACAGATTGAATAACTATGGTGAAAGGATACAACCGTGACCCATGCCTTTCCTGATTTTAAACCACACAGTATCCCCTTGTTCTGTTTGAATGACTGCCTCTTGGTCTATGTACAGGTTCCTCCTGAGCACAATTAAGTGTTCTGGAATTCCCATTCTTCCCAATGTTTTCCATAATTTGTTATGATCGACACAGTCGAATGCCTTTCCATAGTCAATAAAACACAGGTAAACATCTTTCTGATATTCTGTGCTTTCAGCCAAGATCCATCTGACATCAGCAGTGATATCCCTTGTTCCACATCCTCTTCTGAATCTGGCTTGAATTTCTGGCAGTTCCCTGTTGATGTACTGCTGCAACCATTTTTTAATTTTACTTGTGTGTGATATTAATGATATTGTTCGATAATTTCTGCATTCTGTTGAATCACCTTCCTTTGAAATGGGCACAAATATGGATCTCTTCCAATCAGTTGGCCAGGTAGCTGTCTTCCAAATTTCTTGGCACAGACAAGTGAGTGCTTCTAGCGTTGCATCCATTTGTTGAAACATCTCAATTGGTATTCCATCAATTCCTGGGGCCTTGTTTTTTGCCAGTGCCTTCAGTGTAACATGGACTTCTTCTTCAGTACCATTGGTTCTTGATCATATGCTACCTCCTGAAATGGTTGAACATTGACCAGTTCTTTTTGGTACAGTGACTCTGTGTATTCCTTCCATCTTCTCTTGATGCTTCCTGCGTCATTCAATATTTTGCTCATAGAATCCTTCAGTATTGCAGCTCGAAGCTTGAATTTTTTTCTTCAGTTCTTTCAACTTGAGAAAGGACGAACTGTTCTTCCCTTTTTGTTTTCTAACTCCACGTCTTTGCACATTTCATTGTAATACTTTACTTTGTCTTCTCGAGATGCCCTTTGAAATCTTCTGTTCAGCTCTTTTACTTCATCATTTCTTCCGTTTGCTTTAGCTACTCTACATTCAAGAGCAAGTTTCAGAGTCTCTTCTGACATCCATTTTGGTCTTTTCTTTCTTTCCTGTCTTTTTGGTGACCCCTTGCTTTCTTGGTGTATGATGTTCTTCATATCATCCACAACTTGTCTGGTCTTTGGTCATTATTGTTCAGTGCGTCAAATCTGTTCTTCAGGTGGGATATACTGAAGGTCAGTACTTTGGCTCTCCTGGACTTGTTTTAATTTTCTTCAGTGAGGAGTAGGAGGGGCTTATTGAAGAGTAGAAGGGGCTTGGGAAGGAGTGAGAGGGACTTGGTGAGAAGTAGACTTAGTGAGGAGTGGGAGGGGCTTTGTGTTGAGTGGGAGGGGCTTGGTGAATGGGAGAGGTTTGGCAAGCAGTGGTAGGGGCTTAGGGGCTTAGTGGTAGGGTTGGCGAGGAATGGGAGGGGTTTATAGAGCAATGGGAGGGGCTTAGTGAGGGTAGGTTGGCACGGCTAGGAGTGGGAGTGACTTATTAAGGAGTGGTAGGGGCTTTGTGGGGGTGGGAGGCGTTTAGGGGGTACGAGGGGCTTTAGGAGGGGAAGGTGCTTGGCAAGAAATACAAATGCTTAGAGAACAGTAAGAGGGGCATTGAGGGATATGGGTGGGACCTAAGCAAGAGTACGACAGGCTTAGAAAGGAGTGGGGAGTCCATTCCCAAGGAGTAGGAGAGGCTTAAAATCATACTCTGGAGTAGAAACGGTTTGGCGTGCGATCAGGAAGATTGGCAGATGAGTAAAGAGTGAGAAGCCTTTATAGGAGAGTGGGAGGGGCTTGAGGAGGGCTTGGCTTGAAGAGAAGTGAGAGGGTCTCCCAGAGTATAGGTGATGGGTCAGTGAGCCCAAGGAGCCCAGGAGGGGAGGGCTGATGTGAAAGTGACCCCTGATCTGACCTCATGTCTCCTCCCTACTCCAGAGAGAGCCCCCACCCACTACCACCCTCCCACCGCCATGGACGACACCCCGCTGCCAGCTCCCCCGACCCTTCCCCCAGCCCCCACACCAGCCCCGGCCCCACCCGCGGCAGCCCCCCGGGTCCCGTTCCACTGCAGCGAGTGTGGCAAGAGCTTCCGCTACCGCTCGGACCTGCGGCGCCACTTCGCACGGCACACAGCACTCAAACCCCATGCCTGTCCGCGCTGCGGCAAGGGCTTCAAGCACAGCTTCAACCTGGCTAACCACCTGCGCTCGCACACTGGCGAGCGGCCCTACCGTTGCTCCGCCTGCCCCAAGGGCTTCCGAGACTCCACGGGCCTGCTACACCACCAGGTGAGTCCTCCAGGTCTCCCAGGTCTCCCCACTTCCATCTGGGAAAAAAGCAGCTGGCCACAGGCCCACTCACCCCCCTCTTCCCTTTGTAAAGTCCCTTCTTCCCCACCAAAGCACCCTTAAGTCAAAGCTTAAGGTGTTTCCCTTTCAGCCACCACCTAACACAAGAACTAGAACGTTCATAGTAAGTTGTTTTTGTTAGTGGCCGACAAGTCGGTTCCGACTCATGGTCACCCCATGTGTGCAGAGTAAAACTGTGCTCCATAAGATTTTCAAGGCTGTGATCTTTTGGAAGCAGATTGCTAGGCCTTTCTTCCGAGGTGGCTCTAGGTAGATTTGAACTGCCAACCTTTTGGTTAGTTATGCAACGATTAACCATTTGTGCCTCCCAGGTTCTCCACCATAGTAAATTAGCTCCAGTTATATATTCCTCCCCTCTCCCACCCACCCCTGCCAGTACCCCCAAGAACCCCAGTAGCTTCAATTTTGTTTATCATTTCCTTACTGTTTTTTAAGTAGATTTATCACATAATCTCACAGTTCGTTCCTTTACTCAACTATTATTTCTTGAATGCCTACCCTGTGCTCTAAGGAGCCTTGGTGGCACAACAGTTAAGCGCTGGGCTGCTAACCAAAATGTTGACAGGTCGAACCCACCTAGCAGCTCTACGGGAGAAAGAATTGGCAATCTGTTTCTGTAAAGATTACAGCCAAGAAAACCCTGTGGGGCAGTTCTGTTCTGTCACATGCAGTTGCTAAAGATCAGAATCGACTAGACGGCACTCAACAACAGCAACACCCTGTGCCCAGGAGTCCTTGGGTGGCGCAAATGGTTAAGCGCTGGGCTACTAACCAAAAGGTTGGCAGTTCGAATACACCCAGAGGCACCTTGGAAGAAAGGCCTGGCAATCTACTTCCAAAAGGTCACAGCCTTGGAAACCCTGTGGAGTGCAATTATACTCTGCACACAGGGGGTTGCCGTGTCTCGAAATCGACTCAATGGCAACTGATAACCCTGTGTCCAGTAGGGTTGTCAATGTAAAAATAATAAAGTCCATGCCTTCATAAAGCTTACACTTCAGTGGAGGAAGTCAGTAGACATGTAGATGATAAACAAGGATACAATACATAGGTGAGAATATTCTGGAAAGGAAGAAGAGCTGGGAAGGAAATAAGACAGTTCGATGTCTTGGAGTGACTAGGGGAGAGCTAAGGGCTACTTTGCAGCTCTGGTGGTGCAGTGGTTAAGAGCTCGGCTGCTAACCAACAGGTTTGCATTTCAAATCCATCAGCCGCTCCTTGGAAACCCTATGGGGCAGTTGAACTCAGTCCCATAGGGTTGCTATAAGTCAGAATTGACTCAATGGCAGTAGGTTTGGTTTTTGGTATTCTGAGGAGCCCTGGTGGTGCAGTGGTTAAAGCACTCAACTGCTAACCGAAAGGTCAGTGGTTCAAAACCACCAGCAGAAGATACCTGGGAAGACAGGCCTGGCGATCTGCTTGCACGAGGTCACAGCCTTGAAAACTCAATGGAGCAGTTCTACCCTGCACACATGGCTTCACCATGAGTCAGAGATGACTTGATGGCAACTAACAACTACAACAAAAACAGACATAGTCCACCCATTTGGTGGTCTCCCAGAGCCACCAGTCTAGTGGGGGAGATGTTCACTGGACAGTAAGGTTAATAAATGTTAAATTGCAACAGAAACGTGAGGACAGCGGGTAACAGTACTTTGAGGTCAATACAAGAGATGGCTGAAGTAATTGGTGTGAGGGATAGGGCCAGGGATGGTTTGCCAGAGAAAGAGGTGGTGATGAACTGCCCCGAAGAACAAAAAGGCATTCATCAGGAAGAGAAATGATGGGGGCGGGAATGAGCTGTCCAGGGCTCGGGAATGGGACATGCACTTTCAAGAAGCGAGGCCAGCTTTTGAGGAGCTGGAGGAGGGCCAGTGTGGCCAGAGCACAGAAAACAAGGGGCAGTGTGTCACGGGAGAAGGCTGGAGGGCACAGGGCTTCTAACACCTACTATGTGCCAGGTACTGGAAATACGGCAGTGAGAAAAACCAATACGATCCCTATTTTCCCAGTTCTTATTTGGTGGGATAGTCCCTGAGTGGTGCAAATGGTTAGGTGCTTGGCTACTAAATGAAAAGTTGGCAGTTCAGATCTACCCAGAGTTGCCTTGGAAGAAAGGCCTGGTGATCTACTTCTGAAAAATCAGCCATTGAAAACCCTACGGAGCACAGTTCTACTCGGACACACACAGAGTTGCCATGAGTTGGAATCAACCCAAGGCCAACTGGTTTGGTTTTGGTTTTTATTTGATGGGGAGACAGATGACACACAAGTTAGATGTAGTTCCCCAGTTGCCATCCAGTCACCTCTGACTTATGGTAACCCCATGTGTGTCAGAGTAGAACTGTGCTCTTTAGGGTTTTTGTTTTTTTAAATAATTTATTTTATTTTTGTTGTTGAGAATATACACAGCTAAACATACACCAATTCGAGTTTCTGCATGTACATTTCAGTGACATCAATTACATTCTTTGAGTCGTGCAACCATTCTCACCCTCTTTTTTCTGAGTTGTTCCTCCACTAGTAACATAAACTCACTGTCTGCTAAGGTTCCTATCTAATCTTTCAAGTTGCTGTTGTCAGTTTAATTCCACAAAGATAGATCTTAAAAGAGCATAATGCCATAGGATTTTCTGGCTGATTTTTAAGAAGTAGATCGCCATGTCTTTCTTCTGAGACACCTCTGGGTGGGCTCAAACCGCCAACCTTTCAGTTTGCAGCCGAGCACATTAATCGTTCGCACCACCCAGGGACTTCTAGATGTAGTTACTAAGTGTGACATGAGCCGTAAGTTCTGAGGAGAGAGGATAGGTGTGATGAAATGTGGTGAGCTGGAGGCCTAGATTTAGGGCAGGTTTTCTGAAGAGCTGACAGATAAACAGAGGCTTAGAGAATAAGAGAGGAGGCTGCCATTGGAAAGAACACTCCAGGCAGGGAGTACAGCATGTACAAAGGCCCTGAGGTCAGCATGACCTTGTGTTAGAAAGTTAGATGGAGAGAGAATAAATGATGGGGTTCACTGCTCTTGGGCTATACTACAGTAAATTAACTCTTATCTAGAGCCAGGATAGAGTTGCTCCTTAGAAGCAAGGATGGCGAGAGTTTGTCTTATGTACTTTGGACATGTTATCAGGAGGGACCAGTCCCTGGAGAAGGACATCATGCTTGGTAAAACAGAGGGTCAGTGAAAAAGAGGAAGACCTTCAACAAGATGGATTGATGCAGTGGCTGCAACAATGGGCTCAAACACAGCAACGATTGTGAGGATGGTGCAGGATGAGGCAATGTTTTGTTCTATTGTACATAGGGTCTCTATGAGTCGGAACCAACCCAGTGGCACCTAACAACAAAACAGAGCTAGGATGGCAAATGAGTAGGACTCCCTGCTGAATCTACAGGTCCATGCCCCCGGTAGACATTACCAATGAATCACTGCACTCTTTCTCATTGAGCCTCACAGTCCTTCCCACAGCTCTCCAGGCAGCCATTACCAATTGATAGGACTCCTACACTCAAATAAAATCTCACTCTGCCATTTAAGGAGTCTTAAATAAACCACAAGGGGCATTTGTGTCACAACAGGTAAGTGCTTGGCTGCTAACCGAAGGGTTGGTAGTTCAAACCCACCCAGCAGCTCTGCTTCTCTATGGAAGCAGAGAGTATAGCCAAGAAAACCCTATCGGGCAGTTCTACTCTGTTACATAGAGTCGCTATGAGTCAGAGTCAACTAAATGGCACCAAACAACAATAACAAATAAACCACAAGGGCAAATACCAGTAGAGACCTCTGGAAGGCACAGGCTTGCTCCGTTGACAAGCCTGGCTGTGCCTCAGAAAAAAATACAGATTCCTAGACTCCCACCCAGGAGATTGTGATTCCCTGTATCTGTAAGTGGGGGCCATACATCTGTATTTGTGATTTGGTGCAGAATCCCTTCTCCTGCCCTGATGCACCTGAGGACTATGACCTCGGCCCCTCAGTAACTGAAGCTTATGCAGCCTGTGCTTGTGGGGCGGAAGATGCCCCCTCCCAGGGCTGGCTTCTCTGACCCTCTAGATGTGTGCTGTTTAATATGGGAGTCATTAGCCACAGATGGCAATTTAAATTAATTAAATAAAATTTAAAACTCAGTTCCTCAATTGCAAGGAGCCCTGGTGACACAGTTAAGTGCTTGGTTGCTAACCAAAAGGTCAGCAATTCAAACCCACCAGTCACTCCAAGGGAGAAAGATGTGGCAGTCTGCTTCTGTAAAGATTATGGTCTTGGAAACCCTATGGGGCAGTTCTACTCTGTCCTATAGAGTCGCTATAAGTCGGAATCGACTTCACAGCAATGGGTTTTTTTGGGTTATGACTCGAGCAATTATTTTGTGATGATCTCAGCCTTTCACAGCACCTCTGTGAGATGACCCATTTTATTTACTGTACCCATTTTACAGAGGAGAAAAACAGAGGCCCAGAAATGGGAAGTTACTTGCCCAGGGTTTCATGGCGAGCAGAAAGCGGAGCTGGGATTTGAACCCAAGTCTATCCATTCCCAGAGTCCAATTACTTAATGCTGTCCTAGTGAGTGACAATGAATTAAGACTTGGACAGCGAGTGGAGGAGTTTCTGGGCTTGAGGGAACAACATGTGCAAAAGTTCTGAGGCTGGAAGAGACTTGCCCTTTTTGAGAACTGAAAGAATGCCAGTGTGGCTCAAAGGAGAGAGCCAGAGTGAGAAGATTGGACTGAAAAAATGTTGAACTGGTAAATGTTGGGTTATATGTGTATATATATTTGTTTACAACAGCAACAACAACGAAATCTAAAAAAAAAAAAAAAAAAAAAGGTTGGAGCCAGATAGAACACAGTCTTGTAGGCTGTAACAAGAAGTTAGGGCCCCATCCCTCTGGAGTCCAGACATCTGTCTTGTAGGCTGGGCCATTCACCCTGACAGCCTCCTTTTCCTCCCTCTTTCCTAGGTCGTCCACACTGGTGAGAAGCCCTACTGCTGCCTGGTCTGCGAGCTCCGTTTTTCTTCACGCTCCAGCCTGGGTCGTCACCTCAAGCGCCAGCACCGGGGGGTGCTCCCATCCCCTCTGCAGGCCGGCCCTAGCCTGCCTGGCCTGAGCGCACCCTGCTCTGTCTGCTGCAACGTGGGGCCCTGCTCGGCGTGTGGGGGTGCGGCAGGGAGTGGTGGCGAGGGCCCGGAGGGCGCAGGTGCAGGCCCGGTCAGCTGGGGGCTGGCTGAGGAGGCAGCGGCCGCAGCTGCGGCCTCACTGCCTCCATTTGCTTGTGGGGCTTGTGCGCGGCGCTTCGACCATGGCCGCGAGCTGGCCGCCCACTGGGCCGCACACACTGATGTGAAGCCCTTCAAATGCCCTCGATGCGAGCGTGACTTCAACGCGCCGGCGCTACTCGAGCGGCACAAGCTGACACACGACCTACAGGGCCCTGGTGCGCCCCCGTCGGCCCAGGCCTGGGCCGCGGGGGCTGTGGTGGAGCCAGAGGCTGCCAGCGAGCAGGGTGCCCCAGAGGTGGGTGATGCGCCCCCGGCCTGGGACGACGTCCTGCCCCTGGGACCCGCGGGGGGCAGTGTGCCCGAGCTGGGGGCACTGCTCCCCGAGGGTGGTGGTGAGGCCCCTGCGCCCCCGGCGGCTACCGAGCCTTCGGAAGACACACTGTACCAGTGCGACTGCGGGACTTTCTTCGCATCGGCCGGGGCCCTTGCCAGCCACCTGGAGGCGCACTCAGGCCCTGCCACCTATGGCTGCGGCCACTGCGGGGCGTTGTATGCGGCCCTGGCGGCCCTGGAGGAGCATCGGCGCGCCAGCCACGGTGAGGGCGGTGGTGAGGAGGCTGTGATGGCGGCCGCAGTGGCCCCAGAGAGGGAGCCGGCGTCCGGGGAACCCGCGTCGGGCTCCGGCCGTGGCAAGAAGATCTTCGGCTGCTCCGAGTGCGAGAAGCTGTTCCGCTCGCCACGCGACCTGGAGCGGCACGTGCTTGTGCACACCGGTGAGAAGCCATTCCCGTGCCTCGAGTGCGGCAAGTTCTTCCGCCACGAGTGCTACCTCAAGCGCCATCGGCTACTGCACGGCACTGAGCGGCCCTTCCCTTGCCACATCTGCGGGAAGGGCTTTATCACGCTCAGCAACCTTTCGCGCCACCTGAAGCTGCACCGAGGCATGGACTGAAACGGCCGCTTGGCCTCGACCTACCCATCCCCAGGCACCGAGCTCAGGGCCCGGGCCAGGGGACCTCCCAAATCCAGGCACGGGCCCTGAGCCAAGGCGACCCCGGCTGAAGAGATGGGACCACCAATACCGACACAGGCCCCTGAGTTAGGGGGAATGGGACACACATGGGGACTGCAAATAAACCAAGGGACTCCTTAGCAAGGGAGTCCCAGAACATGAGTTGGGGGTCCCCAAAGCTACGGAGAGACTCCTGAGCTTGAGGCCCCTGGGATATGAAGCAGGGCACCCTCCAAATCAACAGGTCCCCAGGCTGGTGGAACCTGGGAATGAGAACTGCACCCACAAGCACCCTATCATCTTGAAGGCCCTATTAACAAAAAATGGGCACCCTGAAGGGAAGACCACCCTACTCCCTGAGAGCCATCATTCCCAACGACCTTGATCTGGAGAATGTGGAAGGGCAATATCCTGAAATTTTCCTGGATCCCTCCCCAGCAAATGCTACCCACCAGAGTCACTGCGACAGTGCCCCCAGAAAATGGATACTGCCGGAACCTGCCTTCCCCCATTTCATTCCCTATGCCGAAAGAGGACCAGGGTAGATGCTCCCTGACCCCTCTCCCCTCAAATTAGGTCTCCTCCTACTGCGGAATGGGTCGGCCCTAAGGATCCTACCCGCCCCCAAACACTAGAATAGGCTGGCCCCAAGTCTCCCTGCCCAGTAGAATGACTGGTCTAGATACATATACCCCCGTCCACTTGGAATGGACTGGTCCAGGTGGTGTCCAGCGCCCCACCCTCCTTAGACAGAATCAGGCAGTCACTCCTCCCCTTCCTGTAGAGTGGACCGGTCCATGTTGCTCCCTACCCTGTGAACTTGTCTGAGTGGGGAGGGGCTGGGCATTGGGGCTGCCCCCCTGCTCTGCTGTAGCACCTGTCAGTCTCTCCATCTCTGTCCGTTTGTCTGTCTCTGTGTCCTTCCCAATCCCAAGGGGAAGGGGGACTCTTAGGGGTCTCCCTCTCCCCTCCCCCATGAGCTTCAACCTTATCCCACTCCTCAGTGTCTCCAGAACCCCAATAAACCTCGTCCTGTCCGTCAACTGCTGGCTCATTTTCTGATCCTTGACGTATGAGGTTGGGGAATCCTCCTCTCTGGCATAGGCCTGGCTCCCTTAGTATAGACAGATCTTTACTCGCTCTCTAGAAATTTTGAGTCCCTTACATGACCCTTATAATCAGAGACGGTTTAAGTCTCATTTAAATGGAACCCTGTCCCTTAAACACAAACTCCACCTTCAACAGACGGGACACGCCCCCTAGAAACCTGATAACCATTCACATCCTCTAGAAAGCGGGCGCGCCGCCTGGAAGCCGGGCACGCCCTCTAGAAACCGAAGTGCCCCCTTAGATACAAGCTCCTATCCCTAGAAAGAGCTCCCACCCTTTAGGCTCTTTATTTAGGCAACAAAATGTGTACTTTAGACGCTTCATCCACCCCCTATAGTTAGGACCCGACCACCAGAGAACGGGTCTGCCCTTTCTTTAAATTGTCTCCTTACACGTGAAGTTGTATTCATGTAGTATTTATTCCGTGCCAGGCACTGTATCGGCCATGGGGATCCACCGCTGAACAGAATAATCATCCCGGTCCTCATGGAGTTTATATTCTAGTGTGTGGAGCTGGTGGTGGGGAAGACAGTGATTAAAAAAAAAAAAAAAAAAAATGAAGAAAGTAATTTCAGAAGGTTAGGAGCCCTCTGAAGAAAATAAAGCATGGAATGAGAAAGTGAGTGGTTGGGATATGCCCCGTTAGACGGGGTGGTCAGGGCGGGCTTGTCTGCGGAGGCGGCATTTGATCTGGGGCCTGAAGAGTGAAAAGGGGCTGGCCAAAAGGAGGCCTGAATGGGCACAGAAGGAGAGGGAGGGATGAGATGACATCAAGAGGTAGGAGTCTGACTTTGATCTCCAAGCAATGGGAAGCAAGATTGTGTGTGTGTGTATGTGAAAAATATATGTAACAAAACATTCGTCAATTCAACCGTTTTTACACGTACAATTCAGTAACATTGATTATGTTCATCATGTTGTGCAACCATTACCACTGTTGTTGTTGTTAGGTGCCCTCTAGTTGATTTCAACTCATAACGACTCCATGTGACAGAGTAGAACTGCCCCATAGGGTTTTCTAGGTTGTTATCTTTATGGGAACAGATCACCAGGTCTTTCCCCTGTGGAGCTGCTGAGCAGGTTTGAACTGCCAGGCTTTCAGTCAGCAGCTGAGTGCTTAACTGTTGCGCCACCAGAGATCTTTGCAGCCATTACCAATATCCTTTTCCAATTATTTCACCACCAGTAGCAGAAACTCAGTGCCCCCCAAGCAATGGCTTCCCCTTTCCCTCAGAAAAAGGACCCCTGGTGTCACAGTGGTGAAAGCGCTTGTCTGCTAACCAAAAGGTTGGTGGTTCCAACCCACCAGCTTCTCACAGGTGAAAGATGTGGCAGTCTGCTGCTGTTAAGATTTACAGCCTTGGAAACCCTATGGGGCAGTTCTACTCTGTCTTATGGGTTGGAAACAACTTGACAGCAAGGGGTTCCATCAGAAGCTAGGTATTAAGCAGGGTGGGATGTTATCACACTTGAGCATTTTACAAGGATCCTCCTGGCTGCTGTGTGGAAAAGGAATTGATTGGAGGGCTCCAGAGTGGAAACAGAAGAAAAGGCTACTGCAATCAGCCAGGAGAGCGATACGGGGACCTGGACCAGAGTGACGACATGTAGAGATGGAGAGAAATGGATGGACTTGAGATAAATTGTGGAGGTAGAATTCTGGAGGATGGTGTGTGTGTGTGTGTCCATGTATATGTGTGTATGTGTTGAAGGAGGGTGACGGAAAGGGAAGAATTAAAAGCGACTGGTTGGGTGGTAGCACTTTGTACTAGGGGAGGCAAGTCTGGGTAGGGATTTGAGGGGGTCAAGAAATCCATCTTAAACTGCATAAATTTAACATGCTTAATAGACTGGCAGGAAACCCTGGTGGTGTAGTGTTAGAGAGCTATGGCTGCTAACCAAAAGGTCAGCAGTTCAAATCCACCAGGTGCTCTTTGGAAACCCTATGGAGCAGTTCTACTCTGTCCTATAGGGTCACGCTGAGTCAGAATCGACTCTGCAGCAGCGGGTTTGGTTTTTGGTTTAACAGATTGGCAAGGAGCCCTGATGGTTCAGTGGTTAAGCACTTGGCTGCTAACTGAAAGGTTGGCAGTTTGAACCCACCAGCCACTCCTTCGGAGAAAGATGTGGCAGTCTGCTTCCGTAGAGATTACAGCCTTGGAAACCGTACAGGGCAGTCCTCCTCTGTCCTATAGGGTCACTATGAGTCAGAATCGACTCAACGGCAATGGGTTTGGTTTGGTTTTTTGGTAATAGATTGGAATGGTGACCCCAGGTGTGTCAGCGTAGAACTGTGCTCCATAGGATTTTCAAGGTTTTGACCTTTCCAATGCAGATTGGCAGGCTAGTCATCCAAGGCACCTCTGGGTTCATTCGAATCGCCAACCTTTCAGCTAGTAGTTGAGCTCTTAACCGTTTGTGACACCCAGGGGGTCACAATGAGTCGAAATCTACTTGATGGCAACTAACAACAACAAAGTACATAGATTGGTATTCTCTAACAAGGTTGAAGATGTGCGTATCTTGTGATGTAGTAATACTATACTGCCAGGTACAAACCCTAGAGAAACTCATATTCACCTGCACCAGGAAACACATATAAGAACGTTCACATCAGCATGATTGGCAGTCCCAAACTCAGAACCAAAATGTCCATCAACAGTACTATGGATAAATAAACAAAAACCCGTTGCTGTCCAGTTGATTCCGACCTACGGTGACCCTTTGTGTATCAGAGTAGAACTGCTCTCCGTAGGGTTTTCAATGGCCGATTTTTCTGAAGTAGATCACTAGGACTTTCTTTCCAGGTAGCTCTGGGTGGATTCGAACCTCCAATCTTCCAGTTAGCAGCCCAGCGTGTTAAACTTTTGCACCACCCAGGAACTGACTATCTATCTACCTACCTACCTCCCTGCCTGCTACCTACCTACCTACCTACTTGTCTATCCGTCTGTCTATCTATCTATCTAAGAAAACAAGTAAAACTTTGGTGTTCAGGGAAGACTTCTTGGCTGGAGTTCCACATCATTAATTTGAAAAGGCTCCACTCCTTAGGACAAGGCCAGTGCCTGAGGATGCTAAACCTTAGAAATATTTCTCTCCACTCAGCAACCACCACTCAGAAACTACACTCACCTCTTACAGGTAAAAATACCATTAGCCTCTGACCTGCCCCTTAGAGACAGGCACTGCCCCCAGGGGCAAAGCCCGCCCACTTGAGACCCGTTTACAGACGGGCTCAGGCCCTGGGGGATGAGAGGATGAGAGCCTGGAAAAACGCCAGGGTTGTCATGGAGATGGCCAAAGGCTATGGAGTGATGAAAGGTACTCCAGGAGGCCGAGGCTGCCACCCATCACACCTCCACTCCAGTATTTTCTCTCCCCCGCCGGCTTGGGTGTCCTTTCTGAGATGGTAGAGAAACAAACACAAATCATTTCCCAAACCATTTGCGAATGATGGCAAGGTGGTTAAGTTCTCGGCTGCTAATCTAAAGATTGGCGGTTCAAACCACCCAGTGTCTCTGCAGGAGAAAGACCTGGCAATCTGCTCCCGTGAAGATTACAGCCTAGTAAACCCTATGGGACAGTTTTACTCTATCACATGGGGTCACTATAAGTCAGAATCCACTCTATGGCAACGGGTTTGGTTTTCGCCAAGTGCCCTGTCCTGTACCCTTTATCTAACTGGTTCCACATTGGCCCCATTTTATAGATGTGCTAATTGAGGTGTGGGGTGTATTTTACCCAGGGGGCAATCTCAGCCTCTCCAAAACACCAATTACTAGCCAGTCGCTGACTATTTCCGACTCCCACACATTGGTGGAGCTGACTCCTGCAGGTGGACCGGTGCAGTCAACTACTTGCAAGTCCTGGGCGACCTCTGAGCTCTTCTGAGCACCATATGTCCCCAGCACCCCAATATACCCCTTCTTGGAAATGTATCCCCCCCCCAGTACCCAAAACCTGAGTTTGCCTGACTCCTCCTCAGGTGTTCATCCACAAATATATGCTGGGCCCCTTGTCTGTGCCCAGGAGTTCCTGAGTGGTGCAAACGGTTAACATGTTGAGCTGCTAACTGAAAGGCTGGAGGTTGGAGTCTACCCAGAGGCACCTTGAAGAAGGCCTGGGGGGATCTACTTCCGAAAAATCAGCCAATGAAAATTCTATGTAGCACAGTTCTACTCTCACACATATGGCGTCACCATGAGTTGGAGTCAACTGGGCATCAACTGGTTCGGTTGGCTTGTCTGTGCTAAGCACTGTGCAGGGAGCAGAG